ACGGCGCGCAAGTTTAATAACGATGACGCCGATAGTGCTTACGTGCTTCACACACATTCATTTGCAATTTCCGTTTTCGCCACTCGAGCGTCTCCAACTCGAGGCCAAATTGCAACCATCATATTATCCGATGTGGATTTAATGTTCCCAACTCCGAATTAATTCATCGGTGCTTCATTTTACACATCCTCGCTTTTTTTCAGTAGCGAATTTCCCTGAATAAATATTAATTCTACGAAAGGCTTTTGCACTTATACATCTGCGGCGTATTTTTGCAACTAATTTCATTGGATAAAATACACACATATGCAAAATGAAAAGATGAAGGGAAGGCGGTTTAAAATGTTCAATTTAATTCGGCATAAAAGCTCAAATATTTTATTAACAATAAAGAATAATAAACAGATATTTAATAAACAACAAATATAGATTGCTAATTAGGTATTTTACCGAAATTGAAAGGTGTATCTATAATTAATACAAAATATTTTAAAGTTTAATGAGCAAAACACTGCAAATGTTTCTGGTAGTAAGGGTAATTTCACCTAAGATGATTTCATCCATAACTCTGTTATCATACCTTTAGTAATACAAATGCTTTCATATTATCAATCAATGGAATCAATCATATGGTGCATATACAGAAAATATTTTAGTCATACGGAGTGTTCCATTTTTCTGGGCGCTACCTAATTTTGAATGCAACACCCTGTATATTTTACATTTTTGATTTCTTTATATAATTTTAGGTCGACTTCATGAACAGTTCTCTAGACCCAGTGTATCTAGTAGTTTTTGAGATATTCAACTGTTTTTCAAGAAAAACACGATTTAACCTATTTGAATGAGACCAAATAGCATTTAAAGCATAAAAGTTAAAAGCGTGTGTTTTGAGCAGTCCGTTTTAGCACGAATTACTGTATCTTTTTTGCTTTGTACAAAATGTGTATGTTAATCAGAGCCGGAAATATCGAAACCTACTTTTGTCAATCTTATAATGCGAATAACTTTTTTCAAATGGAATGACCCATATTAAATACCGTTCATGCGAAATTAAAAGTCATTTCTATTGATATAAGATTTTAAATATAAAATAATCGATTTTTTCTGAACAACTGTTAGAGATAAGTATGCATTTAATTGACTACCTCTAGGAACCAATACCCTATTTGTCTGGGCATGGAATGTTTAGAGTTCTTTTGGAAAAGAATATTCCGAATCTACTCTTAATTCTGTCTTAATTAACTCTAACGCGCGAGCTTACGTCTGTAATAAATTATTTATAAAATAAAATAAATTCACCCACACCTGGTTCTTTGTAACACCCTTTCCAAGGAAATGGAACCCCTAGAGCAGGAGGGAGTCATACTTGTACTTGTCCGAATGTGTTTTTAATCAAAGTCTGTAGACATACTGTTGATTCGTCTTAGGGGAAATATCTGGATGAGTGGAGGAACAAAGGGTATTGGATGTTACGATAACAACATGCATCCGCTATAGTGTTGCTGTACACACACTGAAACGACACTCGACGAAAACAAGCCGATAGAATAACAGCTAGAATATTCGGATGGAAAAGTAAAATGGGACTAGCCCATTCTCATTATCAAGGCGTAAACTAAGTATTACAAATTGAAACTCATGCTTTCTCTCAATATTTACAAAATATTTTAATCCACTGGACTGTAATTTATTAATTTTTTGGCTTTCAGAAATTTAGCGGCAACCAGAAAAAAAAATAACAATCATCAACAACACACAAAATTAAATTTGAATTTTGGGACTTTGCGCATGCGTGTCAGCACTATATTCTCTTCAATAACAGAGAACGTTATAACGTAAGGAAGTATAATACATCAAATGCGAAGTGGTGGAAATTGATCATTTAAAGTAAAAAAATGTTAATGTGAAAATTTATTATTAATTTTTATTCCGTAGCTTAGCAATATTTAATGTTAACCGCTATTGAATTTGAAAGTGTTTCATATAGTATTAAAAAAAATGACCAGACGAATAAAAAAGAATCAAATTGTAGTAAACCAAAGCTAATTATTCAAAATAGATTTATTCCACAAGAAATTTTGGTAATTTAAACCTAAGCTAACAACCTAATCTTCTGTTTTCCATAAGTCAAAATATACAAAAAAGTTTTATTTATTTATTTATGATTTATATGTCTTCTTGTGGAAAACGAAAAAAAAGACTACATCAGAAAGTTGTGATTTCAGGAATAATTTAATAAAAATTCCATACCTATTATTTTAGTAATATATAGGTTATATTTTTCTCGTATGTATAGTTTGACTATGTCTAGCTGTGCTAAGCGTGATAAGGACTTTTTGGCTGGCTGTTTGCTTGTCTCTTGCCACACCTGCAACAGTTTATCTCATACGATCGAAGAATGTGAGTCGAAAATAAGAATTTTAGAGCATACAAGAAAGAAGCCTGTACTGATTTACAGATGTCTCACCTGCACAGAAAATATTACCGAATCAGTGAAGCATCTACAGGAATTAATTGGCAAAATAAGCGAAGGCTCTGTTAGGCCTAAATCTGAGGACTCGGATCACGACAGAGCAAAATTCAAAAATTACTGAAATCAATAAAATACCATATATACCCTATCAAGTTAAGACCAAGCTAACGTCAAATAATATTAAGAGAGTAAATAAGGCTGCAAGTCATAACACCAGGCCCATTATTGTTACTATTTCTTTTAGAAGTGATGTAAATACTGTCATTAGCGGATGGCGTAAACTCGCAGAGTGTATCTCGGTAGCTATAGACATGACTAAAAAAACAAAGCTTTTTATTCAATCCATTGAGGAAGGACCCTAAGAAATTCAACAATGAGAAGAAAGAAGAGTTCCTACACCACACTCACAAATTATTACTACTGGATTTAAAACTCCCAAACCCAAACAAACTTCAAAACACTAGTACCTAGTCTTCTCCAATAATTTTTCGATTAATTACCAAAATGTTAAAGGTTTACGTACGAAGCTGCCTACTCTAAGAAAAACTTTTAGTACCTGCACCCACAGCCACAGTGTTAATTAAAACTCATCTGCATTCTGCTATTCTAATTTCTGAGCTTGGCTTACAAAACTACACCTTCTTCAGAAAGGACAGACATCTCGATGGTTTCACTGTCAGTGGAGGAGACGTTATTATTGCTGTGAGAAACCTGTTGGATAGTAAGTAGGTTCATTAATTGTAGTGTGGAAATTGATCAGCTGTTTTCTAGACTGCTGTTACTCAGTGCAGTACTCAGTACACATCATTTGGTGCTGTGTATCTGCCTCCACGGAAATCGGTATCCTTGACAGTACCAAAGCAGTCTATGATCAATATGAAAACCGAATCATATTATTTTGGGTAATTTATAATCTACCAAACACCTCCTGGAATGAAGACCTTGATCCTATGCCAATATTTACTGACAATGATGTCCTGTTCCGTGGGTGTGCAATTGTGGAGGGCTGCCAGATAATGTATCTCGATATGAATCAGCTGTCTCCTGCCCATCCAATTAAGGGCTACACACTGGATCAGCTGTTTACTGACGTTCCTATCATCTATATTCAGTGCTACCCAGCACCTGATAAGCTTCTGCGACCAGGTTGAGTTTAAAAGACACCGATCTCAGTGAGTTTGCTTATCAGGTGTATGTCATAATGATTACATTAGTAACGTCCAGTTAAGTGGTCAACATTAGCTCGGTTTACAAAAGCTGTGAGCTGTGTGGCTCACATAATGAAATCCACCAAACAGATACCTGGTTATAAATCTTGTCAATAATGGAAGTAGATGTACACAACATCATTGCTGGCCTAAAAACAGATTCTAGTCAGGATCCCGACATTTGTTCAGGATCTTTCATTAAGGGTTACGTTGTTGTTGTGTCCATGCCTTTGGCGCTCTTGTTCACGAAATTGTAATTGAAAGGCTACGCACATGCCTAAGAAATGGAAGCTGTCTTATGTTACTTCAATATTAAAAAAAGGCAATAATACATGTACACAAATTATAGGTCAATCTCTGTCCTTGGTGTAATAGCAAAAATCTTCGATAAAATAGTTGCCTAAAGGGTTACTTCTCAGTTGGGTCATTTAATTATGAACGAGCAAGAGGGCTTTAGATGGGGCATGTCAACCATCACAAATTTTATATTATACAGTAATACGATAGCTGAAGTGTTCAACGGGTACTCCCAGGTTGACTCGGTGTATGTTGACCTTAAAGAAGTTTTTGATTCAATAAACTATGCCAAGTTAATGCGCCGAATTGACTTAGGTGGCTATTTATTACAATGGATTAATTCATATCTTTCGGGAAATTAACAACTACTGAAATTAGGCTCCAGTCTGTCCGCACCCGTGACGGTTGGCCCTTGCGTCCCTCAGGGTTCGTATTTGGTCCCTTTGTTATTTTTGCTTTACATTAATCACCTGCGGGATTGTATTCGTTTAGTCAACTTGTTATTATTTGCTGATGATGTTTAACTCCTTATGATTGTTCAAAGTGTAAGTGAATGTTATTACAGGATGATATTGATTCACTGTTGATATTGATGTATGGCACTGAAAATGATCTCTTACCGAATAAAGATAAATGTTTTCTCGCACTAGATATACCATTGATTTTGAATATAAATTTGGTGTTAACAAAATTTTAAGAGTTTATCAAACATGTGATCTACGTATGATATTCTCTTTTGACTTTGATAAACACACCAGCTGTGTTTTATCTACAGCTTAGATGTACTTCGGGGTTTAGAAGTGAAACTGTAAAGACTTTACAAATGTAAATACATTGATCTACTTGCATAAAACGAATCTTCTTATTTCGCATATTCACAACAGGCAATACAGGAACTCGAAGAGCTTTAGCATAAGTTCTTAAGGTTTCTATCTTACCAAAATAAAAATTGAGTAAACAATGCAATCAAAACTGAAAACATAATTGCGTGATTAATATTATTCATTACTCTTTTCCAGGACAACTGGAAGTCCTCAAGCTAAATCTCCGGCTACAAGCAGTGCTGGGGCTCTTGTGCCCTCTGAAGCTCGCACCCCAACAGCTCCAGGCAAAGCATCACAAAATGCCAAGGGAGATCACCCTTCGGTAAGTCGCATTTCTGTAAATTATTATCACCACGGCAAATAAAAACTAATGAATAGAAAAGTTACTAATACCTATCGTCTTAGGGTTTCGCGGCCTGCGAAGGCATTCATTTTTCTGGCACGCTGTTAAAATTCGTTTAGTTTAATTTTTCTCATTCGGATCAAGAACGAAATTTTACCGGTAATGCGACGAAAGTAGCAGTGAGTGGTAACAATAATAAATAACGTCCAACACTCTTAGGCGTACGACAATATATTTAAAGTAGGTACTCCAGCGTAAAATGGTCACATTAGATTATACTCATCTCTCTGCTGGGCCGTGTTGAATTTGCTCTGTAGATACTGTAATGTTCGTGGGTTTAGCACTTATTAACTTTTAAGACTGATAACGACAAAAAATTATTTATTTACACTAATTATGAGAGAACTTAAAAATACTATTAAATTATTACTGAACTTAAGTTATGAATTATTCTATTTATTTACACTACTGTTGATATATCACTATTCACTGCTCTATTTATTTCACTGCTATCACTGTCAATTTATTTCTGGATTCACTTCTGCAACGGTCAATTTATTTATACCCTTCTCGGCGATCGTCTCTTCCTTTAAATACTCTATTGTTTACTTTCGGGAACCTTCTGGAAACGTCCGGATAGTTTATTTTTTCTTTTAACTGTTTAACTGCTTTCCCAGAACGCAGGTATGAGAGACACATTTACAAATACGGCGCACATGAAGAAAGGCGCTCGCAGATAGCCGGCGAATCAATAAGCCGTTCACGCACACGTGTGCCCGATCGCACACAAACACACTCGTCCTCGCTACAATACCATTTAAAGGTCTCCCCTTGAGCCGTTATTGGATCATGGGACCCTTTTCAGTTGCATGTTGTTGATATTGCCTGTTGTCCAAAACGTGAAGAATGATAGCAGAGTATGGACCTTATCCAATAACTGTAAAAATATTTCGATTGATGTACTGTCACTAAATCAGATCTTCTCAGAATGTAGGTCGTTGTTTTAGTGTTTGTGGAGTTCTTTGATGCACTTGGCGAGACGGTTTTGGCATACGGTACGTTATGCAGGAAAGGGCTACTGTTAAAAGCTTGATTCATACCATCATCTAAACGACGGTAGGCAGCCCCCTTCATATATATGTCAAGATACTATTTGGTCTTAATAAGTATCATGTATTCACACTATCCGTAATGTCAGCTATCCGAAATCTGACGGTGACCTATATTGCAGGAAAGAATGTAATATAAAATTAAATTTTTTAGTACAAATTTATTCTTCTGTCGGAGTTATTGCTTCCCTAAATGTAGCTTTGTCAGCAAATCATTAAATTGATATTCAGATATTGTAAGAATTGATGAAATTTTACTATACAACGAGCAAAATTCCTCTTCAACTTTTATATATATCAAACAAAGTTTTGCGTAGATACTTTTTTTATTTCTCTGCTTTTCTTTTTCTTCTTCGTCTCCTCATCTTCGACTTTACGTTAAAAAGCAACAACTGTAAAACCAGTAAGCGAAAAATATTTAAACATTACGACGAAAACGTTCTAACAGTTCAAAACTTCCCGAAAGATTGATAGTCAGATATTGCATAAGGTAAATACGACACAAAAATACCGCTGACGTCGTCTAAACGGATAGTGGGAATCAGTCTTAATTCAGTCTGTTTTCTTTTGACTCTAGATCGGTAAGCTGTAGGATTTTTTTTTTTTTGGAAAACACTGAGCAACAACGACAGCTATCTGGATGTGTTGCCAGCTTTTATCTGAAGCTTTTTCATCTTTCGGTTTCATATGACTGATTAATAAAAACTTGAAAAATAGTCAAATATTTAGCGTTCAATCAATTTTCGAAAATTGTAGCATAATTTCCACATTCAGCATTATGATTCAGTACACAAGAATGAATTAATCAAAATCATAACTACAGTTTCTGTTAATATGTATATATATATGTCAAAGCATTTATAATATTGCCGAAACTCGTGTTTGTATTAATTTCACAAACGGACACATTAATTTCTACTTTGATAAAGTGCCTTCTATTAATTTACATTTCCACGCAGTTGCGTACATATATATTATGCCCTGATAACATCAGGCACAAGCAATTATTTATTACAATTTACCTAAAACTGTACATTTTGTACCATTCTGTTCTACGTCGAATAACAAATACTATAGCATAAATAATTTTATTCGTGTGATTTGTTATATATATATTTAATGAATTAAAATGTATATATATACGCGAGGCTTGCTAAAAAAATACGTGAAATCTATTAGATATGAAATTGAAACTTAGTGGTACGAAAAGTTGTCCTAAGATTGTTAAATTTGGACCGAAAGCAGCGTCGAATTATCATTGTTCCGTAACGGCATCATGAAATCAACTACTATACAGTTTGTCATTTATCACTTCAGGTATACGAGGTCTATTCAAAAGGTATCGCGATTCTGAATATCCGCGGGTTACGTATATTCGATTTTTGATTTTTTTTTCTAGCGTTATGTTGGTATTCATCTCTCTCACTTATACCGACAAGTTCGGCCATGTTGAATTATCAGTTAATTATTGACAGCTGCTTTGATTGCACGTGTTTTGACTCGTCTTCGTTTTTTGCCTGTTTCAAAAAATGGATCAAAGAATCTGTATCAAATTTTGTGTGAAAAACAGAATTAAGTGCGCGGACTCATTCCGAATGTTGACTGTGACATATGGTAAAGCTACCTTGGACCGAAACAACATTTATCAGTGGTACACAATGTTCTCAGAGGTCCGAGACGTGCTGGACGCCCGAACACCTCAACAACAGACGAAAACATTGATGAAGTGAAAAAAATAGTATTGGCCAATGTTCAAATCACCATTAGAGAAGTTGCTGAGAACCTAAACATACCGATTGGCTCATGACTCGGGCATGAGACGGGTCGCCGCGAAATTCGTACCAAAATTGTTCAATTTCGACCAAGAAGGAGTTGTTGGATTCTTTCCGCGACGACCCAAATTTGCTCCAGAGGTGCTAACGAATCATGGGTTTATGGTTATAACGTGGAAACCAAAGCTCATTCATCTCCATAGAAGCTACCGCACAAGTCAAGACAGTAAAAAGCGCGCCAAGTTAAGTCGAATGTGAAAGTTTTGCTTACAGTTTTCTTCGATTGCAGGAGCGTGGTGCATAATGAGTTGTTGCCACAAGGTGGAAGAAAAAATGATGCAGCAGCCACCGTATTCCCCAAATCTGCCCCCCCTCTGAGTGTTTCTTGTTGCCGAAACTAAAGAGGCACATAAAAGGACGACGCTACGCTATGAATGAGGAGATAAAGAAGGCATCGAAGGAGAAGCTAAACAAGATCACAAAAAATGATTTTCTGAAGTGCTTCGAGAATTGGAAAAAAAAGTTTGCACAAGTTTATAATATCTGGTGGAGATTACTTTGAAGGGGATAAAATAGATATTCATGAATAAATAATCTTTAAAAAAACACAAAATTCGCGATATTTTTTGAACAGACCTCTTATGTACGTTGTTTGCTACACAACGACTTGAAATTAATTAGATTTGAAACTGAAACTTGTGGCAGCAAAAGTTTTCCTGAAATTGTTGAATTTGGACCACAAGCAGCCCCGAATGATCATTGCTTAGCAATTAGTCAATGAAGTCAACATCTAGGCAGTTTATCTTATCTTTATGAATTAAGGTATATACATGACGTTTGCTAGAAAACGATTTGAAATTAATTAGATTTGAAACTTAAGCTTATGGCAGCAAAAGTTTTCCTAAGACTGTTAAATTTGGTCCAAAAGCTGCCTCGAATAATTATTGCCCAATAATCCCCAAATTTGCTGTATTCTCCCAAATACTCACTCTTCATAAATATGGAGAACATATGAAAACAATAATACCTTTAATGACAATTTTAAAATCACATTCAAAACGAAAGGTGAAGCAATATGTTGTTAACTAATTTAAGCCAAAGCCTCACCTCAGTTACCACAAAACCTGTTCGCCCCGGATATGTGTTTCGCACACTTGTAATAAAGTCGGCTTATCAATACGAGACTGGAACAAGTACTTAGTATTTTGTCGAAATCCCCCGACCTAAATCTAGATTTCGAATTTTCGTGTTCATATTACAACTTCGCAGGCACATCCAGAAATACCAATTGGATGTTTTTAGTAATTAACGAAATTAATAAACAGCGACAAGTAAGTAGTAAATGTTTCCTCATTCTAGCGGTTTCGACAAAATGCTGATTAAGAACTTGTTCAACTTAATCCTGTAATACACGTAATGAGAGCTGCGTCATGGAATATATGAATAACCTTGTTAAACGTTAATGAGCAATCTTTCACAGATGGCGTTTACTGCTTGTTTGTTGTTGAGAGTGTGGTTACTAATTTTCCAAAAGGATTTGAAATTGTTCGTGAAAGTAATAGTATGAAGAATTAAAATTATTTTAAATGTTCATGTAGATTTTGAACTTCTGTTACACTCGTCAGATTTTCGTATCATTGTATGCATAAATAGTATTACTTCGAAATATTTATACTTAAGTAAAAGCACAATTGAACCGGAATAAGAAAATTAACAGAAAACTCAAAACAATAAAATTCAATTCAGTGAATTATCATTATTTTTGAGCACAGTTGCTACAAATTGTCTTTCCATGCTTCAAATTATTGAATTCCATATAATACTTAAAATATTACATTCCATATACCTGCAACTCCTGATACTATTTTTTCTACTCTAACATATGGGGCATCTGAGAGACTCGAGGGTAAAGAACATTACTTCTAACATACAAACTTGTGGACGTAAAAGGCCGCAACGCGTTTTGACAGTTTCAAAAGTTACCGTGACTATAAAACTAACACTTTCGGGTGTTTAATCCCCACCAGCCAGTAATGTTCGTGGGCGTACAATCCCTCCGAACTACGCCGGAAGATAAGGCGGAAGACTCTCTTCAGCC